TGTTAGTACCCGGCGGGTCACGTGTCGCTGGGTCCGCCCTCGCTTCGGTCCAAGAGGCTATTTAGGCATGTTAGCCTGCCACCTCCGAATACACACACACATCCATTCTTAGAGGTTATGAGCCCTCGTCTCCTTTTACAGTCAGTTCCCTTGAGCAGACTGCCTTCCTGAGTTGCTTGGTGTGTCTGGATAGGTTCAGTTTCAGCATTTTTGACCTTTCCATAGCACTCAGGGTGTTATCACCCCCTATTTCTCGCCAGGGGGGGTAGCATATATTCTGCTTTCACATCTAAACGGATCGGACAACCGATGCCCTAGATGACGCCGTCCAGACTGATTACGCCGGACGAAGCAATTCTTTTCACATCTAAACGGATCGAATGACCGATGCCCTGGATGAAGCCATCCGGACCGATCGATATGATTGCTGGATGAAATATTATTACTCTCTGTCGCTGTCTAAACGGATCAACCAATCGATGCCCTGGACGAAACGATATTCCCATGTCTAAACGGATCGCCGACCGATGCCCTGGATATGATATTTTTGACCTTACCCGATGCCAAGGGGGGTCTAAATGATCGGATGGAACGAATGAACCATCTACCACACACCAAAAAGGGCGTGAACCCTCTTGCTCTACAACAAGAGAGCGTCCTTTTGGAGGATTTTTCTGTTGCTTCATTTAGCGAGTGATTTCTTAGGACAACCAGAGTGCACCATTTGCCCGCAAGAATTCAACGCTAAGCACACCTTGTTTACTCTGAAAATGTTTTCATCGGAGTGATCCATATTGATCTCGACACCGCTTGATATTGATTCATCGAAAAATTATTGCAACGCCAATGATAGCAGTTGATTTCACTGCACTGTGTTGATATGGCCTCCCAAAAAGGGCCAAGATGGCACCGGTTACCTAGACTCCCACCAAGTTGAACAGCTGTCCAAACTGCATGAGCGATCGGATAGCCAACCAACACTGGATAGGGAGGAAACCGATTGAGAGAATTTGCCAAAACCCACTGGCAAGAAACCAAGAGACTGCTCCTCTCAGCAAAGACCGGGCAATTGAACCAAGGAGATATTTCGACGGAATGACGCCAAATGATTGATCCTTATCTGAAGAGCACATGGATCAATTAAATGGCTAATGGAAACATATGGATTGATGGATATGGGTATACGTCTACTTTCCTGTGTACAAGCTTCCTGTTCTGATAGTGTCTCTACCTTCGTGTTTTCCCCTTTCGTGTATGGCCATCTGGCAACCTGTATATAGCTTCTTGCCTCTTTGCCCTCTGCTCGTGCGAGGGGGGGTGTTAGTACCCGGCGGGTCACGTGTCGCTGGGTCCGCCCTCGCTTCGGTCCAAGAGGCTATTTAGGCATGTTAGCCTGCCACCTCCGAATACACA